TTATTTAGCACTTTGACTAATATATAAGAGTATTAGAGAATTATTTTATACTTTATTTATTCTTTCACGCTTTTTTATATGTACATAGTCGCTGCTTATTGTATAGTAAAGATCTTTATCCATAAAGATTACTAACAATAATATTATAGAGGAATTTTATTATAAATCATATAATTTTTATTATATAATCTAATTTAATTAATTAGTATTATTATAATATCAATCTAATTATTATTTCATCAAAATTTAATATATATTGTTATCATGTGATGAATTTAGCACCTGATATAAGATATATTATGTTACTTATAGTATATTTCTATTGGATAATTAGTAAATATATGATCTACAAATTATGATCCTTTTTAGTTTATACTAATTCTTTAGATTTCATACTATTTTATTTTAATTTTGTTATATTTCATACTATTTTATCTTATATCTTTTATATTTCATACTATTATATTTTATATTATTTATATTTCATATTATTCATTTTTAATTTATACTATTTGTTTTTAGTTTATATTATTTTCATATTATTATTATTAGTATGAAAAACACATGTTATCGATCTTTGAGAACCAAATTAGCTTAATAGTAATTCATAATAAATTAATTATATTCAAGCAAAAGGTGTGAAACACTGTAAATTAATTTATAGAATAAATTATATCTCATTCTAAATAGAATAGATTAGTTCTAGATTAAAAAAATCAAGTAATGAATAATTATTATAAAAATAGCATGTATCTTAGCTAAAAAAAAGGAGATAGAAAGTTAGAAAAGTAGTGAGAAGTTTAAGATAGATAACTTTTGATTAACTTAGTGTTAATAAAGTTTTCTTGCTTTTATTCTTTAAATAAATATAATAACTGACTTATTATGTGTTCATCAAAAGAATTGATTACTTTGTGTTTTCTTTTCTGATCAATAATAAAGATTCTTGGTAAATCTAAATTACTTCTTGATAAAGTATTCATTAAAATATTAAAGAACTTTGTGTTCTATCTTTCTTAAAAATCCTTTATAAATACTTCAAATTCTTGGTGAATTTATTTAGTTCTTAATGAACTTCTTTTATCTTTTAAAATACACTTTAATTCTTAAAAGTTCTTTGTAAACTTATTAGATTCTTTGTGAATCTTTTAGCGTTGTAGCTAACAAATAATAGTATTAGAAGATTATTTCATACTTTGGTTATTTCTCCACGCTTTTTCACATGATGCAGTCACTGCTTACTGTTCTAGTAAAAACCTTCATCCGTAAAGGCTACTAACAGTAATAATATTATATGATTAATATTAAAAATTACATGATTTTTTTAACACAAATATATTAAAAATCAATATAATTTTTGATTATAATATTATTTATTATTTTTTTTAGAAAATTGAAACAAAATTATGTAATTGTTAAATTAAAATCTCTGATATTATATCTTTGATATTTATTAATTAAAATTCTAGAAAAATACAATTTAATATATAAATAATATGATAAATTATTTAATATTAATACTAAGTTAATTTTGAATTCAGACTCTAAAATTCTATAAATTGTAAAACTTTCAAAATTTTCTTTGAATTTGATTTCTTTGTAAAAATAAATTATAAAAGATTATCATTTTAATTTTTCAATATTTTTTAATATTTTATAATATAATTAATTAAAACTAATTGATGTTTTTACAAAATATAATTTTTAGTGTAATATCTTAATATTTAATAATCAAATTTGAACAAAAATAATTTTGAAAAAGTAAAATTATATAATTATAGTTGAAAAAATTAAATTAAATAATTATAAAGAAATATAAATAATTATAATTATAAAGAAATTTAACTGTATAATTCAAGCAAATATATTAATAATTTAATTTATTATAAAAGTAGTTCAATACTTAAAAACACAATTTTTTTATTTTTAAAAAATTATTTATTAATTTTATAAATTTAAAAATTAAATAATAATATTATTATTAATTATTATAAAAAATTTTTAGAAAAAAGATATTAATCTTTTGATATAATTTTTTTTATTTAAATATTTATAGAAATAAATTTATTTACTTGTATATAATTTGAAATTGAAAAGCAAAAAAGTAACAATTTATATTTTTTGCTTTGTTATTTTATGGGGTTACTATAATTGATCACTAAAATCTAGACCCCCGCAATTGCTTTATGACGTCAATGTTCACCTTTTCTGGTTTAATGCAGTATGCACCATTTATGTATTGTATTGTATGCAATGCATTGTTTCGCCATTTCTTGTTTATTAATCATTGATTTTCGGCTGAATATTTAAAAACCGCCACAATGAAATTAATTACAGGGTGATCATTTATCATTTACATAATAGATTCTATTGTCCGGAATTACAGATCGTATTTCTCTCTCTCGGATATTACAAATGTGATTGTTTTGATTGTGGAGAAGGTGAGAGAAAGAAAGGTATCCTAATAAATGAGCGAAGAAAAACCCTAACCAAAAATTCAATTTTGGCGGGTTCTCTTTAAACTTGATTGTGGATTATTTTAGAAAATGTGACGACCAGCCAATCAGCCAGCCAAATCAATCATTTGATATTATTGTGAACAAAAAAGTAAAAGTAACGCCAATAATTTTTCGATTGCTGTGTTTGATTCTACCCGCATTCGGCCTCATCGTCATGATTTATTGATATCCTTCTGATTATCATGTACCGATTTGTGCTCTGTGTGATTAAAGAGAAACTTCAGGTCGCAAATTTGCTATACGGTACACACAGTTTTATTATATTTCACCCTCTCATTCTCCTCGCGTTTTAGATAAAGTTTTAATCTAAAACAATTTATAGTGTAAATAGTGGTAATAAAGGGGATAAAACAAGGATGATAAATTTAACTAATCTAAAAGGTCGACAATAGATGTATCATAAGCTTGTGATTATGCATAACATACATGTATGCATATTCCAAGAAATACCTTTATCGTTATACTTTTTTTAATAAATTAAATTTATGCATTTATATTGTGAATTACAATAATTTACCCCGCATTTTGCTGGATGTAGGAATGAAGAATTGAATAAATGTGGTGTAACGAAACAGTTTGAAGTTAAAATGATTACTTTATACTTGGTTGTTTGAATTTTCGGCCTTAGTGGTTTTCATTGGGGGAAGCGAAGGTGTCTTTTTTACTTTTTTTTCCAGTTGCTGATCCAATTAACCGAAAATAAACACTCACTGTATACATGTATTTAACAATATAATATACACGTTACGTTGTACATCATCATCATTATTATCATCATCAGCCAAACCTTGTCGCCAAACAGTATATCGCACGCCTGCTTTCTCTTCTTACTTGAAAATGCATCTAATAGTTACAGCCAATGCAGCGCATAACGTGATAAGACTACATATTTCTCGTCGCCGTCAGATATACAGAACAAAAGACCTGATAAAATGCATTATGATTTCGAAATACTCGGCTGCTGAAGCAGATCACGACTTTATTAATAAAATAAAGTTATTCAATTAAATATTAATTAATCGAAATTGAGTTCTGAATCTTGGCAGGATAAAGAGAATAAGGCTTTCAGATATGCAAGAGAATAGCAAATCATTTAATTAATTAAGCAGGATAATATAAATTTGAAATTTCGACAAATATTAAGAAATTGTTTTTCGTCCAAAATCAATGTAACAAAAGAAATCATAAATTGGAATAATCGAATAATCACTATAATTCGTTAATTCAACATTTTGTTTAATTACCAATGTCGCTCATTGTACAGTGTCTAACCGGAGAAAGAAAAACCGGTTGCACAATATAACCAAATAATACTGTAATTTATTATTGTTTTTTATTATTATATAATTGTTTTTTATTATGATATATTATTATTATGATTGAGGGGGTTTTGTGCGCGTTTTATTTATTACTGTAACTATTTTTTTTTATTCTTTAAATAACATAGAAAATTATCGTTTCTTTTTTTTCTTACACTTCATTTAAAAAGCATCAGTAACATGCGGCTAAATAAAACAAAATTATAGAAGAATAAAATATATTTATTTATTTTTAATATAAATATTTTATAATACACCATCCTCCCACCAAACTATTCTAAGTGTTTCTTTCTCTCGATAAGTTCTAACACGAATTCAAATCATTCAAAACAGGCAACAAAACATACGAGAAATTAAAACTACACATCCAGCTTAGCATCACGAGAGAACTTCAACAAACTCGGTGTAATTTTTATTGGAGTTTCATCAGCCACGAAAAAAAACAACATTATATATCGCCACATTTGCCTATCTACGCCTTGCTGATACATTATATCAGACCCCTCCTCGTTCATGTAAGTTTTTTGTTTATATAAAGTATAAGCAAAGTCCAACTTGTCTCCTGTCTTATTTCTCTTAATTTTCTTTTTATCAAGTCTCTATTGGAAGAAAGTAGACCTTGAAATTTTAACATTAATACTAATAATAAATTCTATTATTATTATTAATATTAATATTGCTATTGATATTACTATTATTATTATTATTACTATTATTATTTAAAAGAAGCGACCAACAAATGGATATATGTTCAATCAACGGGGAATATACAAATAATACTACTAATAGCAATAATAATAATAATAATAATGACAACATTCATAATAATACGAATAGTAAGGAAACAGAAAGTTTTCCTCCAACTGCCACCCATGCCAACACAAATTCACCTATTGTGGTGAATTCCACAAATACCAATAATGCTGCATCTTCAAGTCCCCCCCATCACTATTACCATCAACGTCCTACTCCCTATTCAAAACCAAGTCGAGTTGCAAAAAGACCTCTGGATGGTACTTTTCATTTATTTTTCGATCATAAATCCTATTCATACATACATCCTACCGAGTCCGTTGTCATAACAACAATAATGATGATAATCAAATGCTTCTATTTTCTAGTATTACCAGATTCATTGGACATAGACGCGACAATCGATAAAATGGATTCATTATATACGACACAATTTTACTCGTGGATAAAAAACCCACAGAATCGAGAATACGCAGCATTGCGATTACGACCGCTCGTTGAAGAGTATAATAGTTTATCACATACTGCACGAGTTCTACGATGGATTGCATCTGATTGGAAACCATCTGAAGCAAAAGACTTGTTCCGATTGGTGACCGAGAAATGGGACGAAGGGAAAAGACGATTATTGGCCTTTTTTTTAGTGAGGGCTCAACGTGAGGAAGAAGGCTTATTCCCAAAAAGAAGACGTGTTAGAACTTCACTTTCTGATGATTCTTGGGATCAACAGGAGGAAAATAATAATAATAATAATAATGACAATAATAATAATAATAATAATAATAATAATAATAATAATAATAATAGTAATAGTAGTAGTACTATTACTCCTGGTACATGTGTTTCGTCTTTATCACCATCATTGACGATCAATTCAACGACTATTCGTAATAGTAGTAGCAGAAACAATCATTACAATCAACATCACCATCATCACCATCATCACACTCACGTTATCAATCACAATCTTAATAATATTCAAGGATACAATGTATCCGAAAACACAAATATATAACACTTACAAATGAATAATTATCTCAGGTTTTTATTGATCAATGCTGATGGATAATAACAACATCGATAATAGCCAAGAAGGAGGTTGAATTAATTCTTATTATATACATTAGCAAAAATTAGGATAACAAAAAAAACTTTGAGTTTGTAAAATGATTTAGTTATTAGTTAATAACGACATGTACAAGATAAATCATGATTTATTAATCACTAAAACATAAATCGTATTAACTGCAATATTAATCATTACATACATACAAACATATAATGGTAATATTATTTATTACTTTTGAGCGTTATATAACAGCAAAAAATGTTTCAATGCCACTATCAAACTCTGCTCATCGAATCAATTCAAAGGAAGAAATGACCTCTACAGTGTTAGCGAAGCAAAGAAATGGTTTTTAATCTTTCGCCATTTCTCTTTCTAAGAGCAACACACCCGAATTTTGTATTTTTATTTTTTTCGGTGTTTGTTGAAGGCGATTGAGAAAAAAAGTCAATTTTTGAGTGGCTCATTTATAAGTTTTAATGATTGTGTGACACGAGTTAATAATTCTGTATTCGAATAATTTCTGAAAGACATGTCGCGTTATTTCTTTATCGTGAACTGCGAGAGCGTCTTTTCTACGCGTACACAAGAAAATATTTCGTATCGCTGGCTTACTCGGTAAAGCGAAACAAATTATAAATTACACGAAAGGTTGAATTTATGTAGCTCTTTTTCCAATTTTCCTCCTCCATTCGGTCCCTATTTGCTCATTTCTATTGTTAAGTTCTGGGTATTGTTGAAAATTTGGATTTCAAGCCATCGAGCAATTTGAAAAAATTAATGATTAGCTGAAGACAAACAATCTAGCAATCGATGAAACTCCAATCAGCTTGATTCAAAGGGAAAGCTTATTCCAATACCACAATCACCTATTCTTCAAGAAACTATCGTTGATCCAATGCACGATAGATGTTTCATGCCAACCAAAGCTGGAGGGGCTCACCGATAAAACTGGGAAGGGAATCTACACATTCAAGAATCGAAATCGTTGCAAACGTGGTTGGCGTAATGTTGATTGTAAAGAGGTCTTGCCAGATTTTATGCTGGAAATCTGTGAGTTTGAGGATGCCATCTCATCAGTATGTATGCTGTTATTATTACTTTTATACTACAAATTATTATTTTGTGTGGATTGGCCACAGGAACTGCCCGAATCATCTTCACCAGGAAGTGAAGAAGAATCGCAACTCAAGTGTCCTAAATGTGATGCAAATCTTTTTCAAATCGATATATTATTATAGATACTGCGAGGACGAACATATACGCCACTTGCATACATGTTAGAAAGGTAACGATAAGATTAAGATTCAATGCACATTCTCTATTTCTTACAGATTCAAGTACAGTCATGTAACTTACATAACAAAAATCTCTTGGACAAAGCAAATTTTACCTTTTGTCTGGTTTTGTTGCATATGCTCCAAATATTATATGCATTTATATACTTGATTGTGTCGTTCGTGCATATCTTTAATAAACATGTATGCGTGTTGGCATATTTACCGCAATTCGAGAAGTTTGCTTTTAAGGATTCTATCATGT